TCCTAATTATATCATATTTTTAATTACATTTAAATATACTATGGACATACGCAGCTTGTGAAAGCATTTGTCAGTATATTAAACTACCACAACAGATTGCTTGGCACATCTTTGAAAAATGCCTCTGCTTTTCTTTAAAAAAAGCAATAGCATAGGATTTGCTAGTAGGAAAAAATGATATTACATTATCAAATTTCGGAAACAATATTTATCTTCTGAAGTTAAAAAAAATCAAGCCAACAATATCAAATCTATTCACTGAATTAAAACTCTAACCAACTAAGAATCCAAATATATGGGGGAAATGGGACATTAATTAATAAAATACTGTGCTGCTAGGAAAAAAGTACTTGACATTTGGGAAGGAATTTAAATCTCTTCTTACATTAAAAAAATGCAACATCACCTTTAGGAAATTAATTAAAAATACAGAATATGATGCAGTAGCACAGTAGTTTTTATTTTTAATGAAAGTTGCTAAAAATCAATGATTTCCATCTATCCAGTGTCAATTCACTTATTTGAAAAAAACCAAACAAAAACAAAACAAAGAAATCAAAACTCTGAAAGCTTTCCTAAAATACAGGTGTGGAAACTTCTCTAGTGAGGGCCAAAATAGAACTCATAGTACCCCCCTCCCCACCAGAACAAGTGCTTTTGCAAGGTCCATTTCTTCAGGGTTGAGAGGTAAACAATTTGTTTCCAAACCCCATACACACACTCAATTATGCACCTCAAGAAATCAGTGGTCACTACCCTGTTTAATTAACCTGTTCAAATGCATCTTTTAAATTAGAAGCTATCCCAACATTATTGATTAGCAATCTATATGACAAATACTTTCAACATAAAACTATCAATGAAAACTAGCTTAAGAATATGCTTGTACATGCAACTAACTGCCCATTACAAGATAATGTACTTTATTTGACCATGAAGCACCTGTTCACAGTGAAGAAATATGACCCAGGAAAGCTTTTAGTAGATATTTTATATCAATAACTAGAAGTAGCCACACTGATTATGTAATGGCTTTGACCTGTTGTGACTGATAGATCATAAATATTCCTACTGTCCATGTGGTTAAGCTTAGTTCATCTAACTTCAAACAATTCAAATAGTAGCCAGAGAGGAGATGGAACGTATGAAAAATAACCCTCCTTTTCTCCCTCTCACAAATTTCTGATAGTGAACTTCCTTGTAATAGCAGTAAAATGGATTATATATAAGATAAATGTAACTCTCGTATTATGCATCTTATGATCTGATAATAACATCCTATGTTTTCTTCCAAATGGTACAGTCCTAATTTCCTAAGCAAATAATTAGCAAGATTAGTAAAAGCTGTCTTAAAGCAATCAGTGTTTCGATAAAATTATCATCAAATGTGGTGATACTCATCCTGGCATATTTGCAAGATCTTTAGAACACATAGGACTGGAACAGATTCCCACTATCCTGGAAAACAAGAACAGCCTTGTTTTGATTCAAGGTGAATGCTTCCTTTGCCTCGAGTCTTCGGTGTCCATCTGCACAGTTGCTTTGAACTTGGACATTTCTCCAACTTCATAGTGTTCAATAAAAATCAGAATGATATGTGTTTAAAGATATTAAAAGGCAATCATGTCTAAATTTGTATTTTGGTCATGATCTACATCATTGAACAAGTTTGCTCAGGCATGTTTCTAAAAGTGTATTTATGCATTCATTTGTCTAAAATTATGTAGCATATGATTTGAAGTACAGACAGTCTGGATGATAAAAGTTTCTTTTACTCCAGAAAATATTATGGAGTAATCTGAGTTGATCTGTTACACAGAATTTAATCTAATTTAAGGATATACAGATAAATAAACTGAATGTTCATCAAGGCACTCAATAGCAATTCAATGGCAAAATGTTGAATGTCAATCTGCTCCCACCCCGCAAACAGTACCCATGCAGTTATAACACAAAGTTAACATGTTTATGAGCATAAGATTAAGAAAGAACTAGAGATTCAGAGTGGAACTAGAATATTAGCTAAAAATTGGTCAATACAAAACACATCCATTAATTTTTATTTCCTCCTATTCTTTGGTACCTACCAATCTTTAATCAGTAAGAGAAAAACCAGTGGAGCTGGCTATTTGTACAAATATAGATGTGCAATATGTAAACTGGATCCTCATATAATTTTTCAAACAATGTTGGGTTCAGGTTCACAGTCAAAAGCAGAATTATAAATTATTTAAACTCATAGGCTTATTTCACTCTATTTTGTCAGTTCAATTAGAAAATGATGAATACCAAAATAGAAGAGACAGACTTACACTGGGGAAGACATGGCATCCTTTTTCTCAGGGAATTCAAACTCTCATCTGTGTTCTTTATGCAAGTGAGCTAACATAATTACCCCAAGAAGAACAGGCAGTAACCTAAAGGACAGTCCCATCTTACTAACAAAGTTCAAGAAGCTATAACCAAATCTCATCTTACTAATTATGTGTTGTTAGGTATTTGAAAATTCAATTTGCTACTCTTTTTTTTTCTTGAAGCATTCCTGGATAGCCAGTTGTGGGAAATAATCCCTTTATTGGGCCAACTGTTTTCTGCGACAAAACATTTGGTAAGTGTGCTGGACTCTACGCTGCAGTTACAAGTTCTATCTCATAATAGTTTATTCTTACATAGTATTCCAATCCTAATTCCAAAGGCCAACCAACACACAAGATAACCAAGAAGTCTGTCTACATTTCCCGCAAAGAAGGATGTCATATGATTGTTTTGAGAGAGTTCCTCCGGCTTTGCCTTAGTAATTAATAAGTGACACTGCATACTAAACACTCATCAACACAATCAATGGGGTTGCTGCCTTTCTGAGAGCATAGGTAAACCTACTCAAAAGAGTTTTCTTTAGGAAGGCTGCAATATGCCACACATACAGTGGTTCCTTTGGAGAATTTCATTCCTGGCAGTTTCTTGGTGGTAACATTTAACAATTTCACTATTTTAACATTTTGAAATGCCAAAAAGAACACACTGATCCTGCAGCAAGGCTTATTAGAGAAACGCAATCTCACAGGCATACAGAGAGGAACAGAGTCCACAGGGAGAAGGGGAACAGAAAAAGATAGAAAACACTGAATAACAAACAAAGCCAGGCACGACTCCTGATGTGAGATCTAATTTTTCACCAGAATTAAAAACTTTACACACCAGATTAAATCATATCACTTATGACTTAATTAAAGTTCTAGTCACAACATTCATTTATATACACATATACTGATGCTATTAAAATTCAGAGGTATGAATCTCTGATTTGCCTTCCTAACAATGAGTATGCAAGCATAGTAATTTTATTTTGAAAGGTCAGAATTAAGCATTTCCACCCTGTGGCATTATTTTACCTTCATGCAGACTTAAGAACACAATGAGACTTCTACCCCTCAGATACTAGATACATACCTCAGCCAAGGGAGCTCCAAGCTTGGAGTGGGAGACATCTTTGAAACAAAAAGAGTCCATTTACAGTAAGTTCTCCTGATAGCCTAAAATGCATTAGTTTATATAAACCTTAGCACCATCAAACCTCTTGTCCAACTATGGTATTTGCTGGTGTCCTGCAAATAACTGCTTGCAGTATGTACTGTTTAACATTCTGGAGGTTCATGCATTCTGTTCATGTATGAAGCTAATCAGAAAATTATTTCTCTCATTTAAGAAAGTAGTCAGGGCCTTTTCCTTTGATAAAACTGATTTTAAACTGAATTAGAGAGCAGAGGGAAGGAAGGAGTACCGGGAAGGGGTGGGGGGAGGAAGATGGGGGGGGGGCAGAGGAAAAATCAATCAGTACATCTTTTCCTTGCAAACTGTGGAGAGGGTAGGATTAGAAAAGCAACACTTTAAATCAGATAAAGTCCTATGGAAACCTTAAAGGTTGGTTGCTCTGAGCTTCTCAATATTCTGCAAAAGAGATTGATGTCATTTGCGACCCCACTGATACCCAATGCCCACTGAGTTTCCTCCTAGAAATTGCATTTCCTCTATTGTTCAAAAGATAGTCACTTGGTAATAAAAATGAGAAGTTATTGGACCCATAGAGATATCTTTCAAACACCTTTAAAGCCAGTAAATCTGTTCTAATCTCTTATTGGATTAAATGCCCAAGAAGGCTTAACATGTGGAGAAATAAACAAAGGCAAGAATAGCTCTTATTTGGAAAACAATTTTAAGATGAGATACAAACTGATTAATAGGTCACTAATTTTTTTCTTCGTGTATTCCTTCAACTTAAAACCTTTGAGAGATTAAATGACCTGTTAAAATCAGAAGCCTGCGTGCATGCTTTTAAACTTTCAAATGACCAAAGGGCAGCCTTTCCTGTCTATCACGTAATTATTTACATCTGAGAGGGGATCCATTTGTGATCCGTGAGCCTCAACAAGAAATACCTTTAAAAAAAAAACACAACGTCAACTTTATTCATCTAATGGCTAGCTCTGAGTCAAATGCTTCTATCAGCATGCAAACATAAGCATTAAGTACTATGCACATTTGTTTTTCCTCCGAGGGCTTCTGTAGCTACCCTTTTCTATATCCCAAGTTTATTTTTTGACATCCATTTCTTTACGTGACATTTAACGTTTTACTTTAGTTTCTAGGCTTGATGCAGATTAATGTATTTCCCTGGGAAGACTTAGTGGCTGACATCAGGCAACAACTCCAGCGCCTGCTTTTCAAGCATGCACAATTACACATTTTTCTACAAACAGACATCAGCATACAGAGAGCCAGGTGCACACACATTCAATAAATAGTAAATGGTAGAAACCTCCAGAAGCAGCAGAGACAACAGTTAACAGGCTAGGGCTATCCAGCTAAGTAAACAGCCACGCACGATTCGCTCTCCTGGAACAAGAACTCCAATGAAGGACACTTGGGGATCACGCTGGTCAGTACCCGATGGGGCGGGAGGTGGTAAAAGTATTTCCAAAGGCAACTCTGTCGGGTCTTACCCTTCGCATCCCCCGGTCCTCTGGGTAGAAGCTCCCCGGGCACCTCTAGCCCCCGCACAGGGGCTCCTCCTCCGCTAGAACGAAATGTCCCCCCTGACTCTAGGGAGAGATCTGCTGGGAGCCAAGACGCCCGGCTAGGGCCAGAGGACGGCACCGGCGCCACGGGAGCCCCGAAGAGACCGAGGCGGCGAAGTGGTGGAGGAGGAAGGGGCGGCCGGGGGTTAGCGGGCGGGGAGGGCGGGGAGGGCGGGGCGGCGGCGCCGGCGCCCGGGGTAGGGTGGAGCAGGGTGCGCCTCCGGGCGGTCGGTCAGTAAGTCAGTCGGTCCGCGCGCTGACGTCCCCGGCCCCCAGCACGCGACAGCGACGGGGGACTGGCGCCCCCTCGGCTGTGACAGCCCGCGAACCTCGCCCCTGGCCGGGGCTGTGCGCTGAGTCCTCGCGATCGCCCCGCCTGGCCCGGCGCGGGGCCGCCCGTCGTCTCCACCAGCCCGAGCGCGCGACGCCTCGCCCAGCCGGTGCGGTCCCTGCCTCTCCCTCCGCTCGCTCTCGCGTTCTGTCTCTGGCTCCCTCTCGCTCCGGTCCCATTTATGAAGCGCGGTCCCATCACGTGTTAATGAGCCTTTGTCCTGCCCTGGCAGCGGCGGCGGCACCGACTCCGCCGGGGAAACCGCGCGGGGAGGGAGCAGCGCGCGGCGCCCTCGGCTCCAAACTTTGCTGGCGCGGGGCCCCCCGCCGCGCCGCTGGCCCCGGGGCCCGAGGGGACTCGCCTCGGCGCAGCGCCCCCCCCCACACTCCCGGGGGACCCCCCGCGGCCACGACCCCACTCTCCGCCCAGATACCCGCACACCCTATCCAGCCCCAAAGGGGGCTCGTGCCGGCGCCGCCCCCGACCTCAGGGCCATTCATCACGCGCGCCCCGCCCGGCGCAGCTCCAGACACGTTGCGCGGAGGTCACGTCTGGGACAGCCGGGTGGGCCAGAAGGGGAAGGGGATCGCGAGGGGAGAAGCCTGCTGGGACACGCGGGGGCCCAGGGTGCAGCTTCGCCCCGTCCCCCTCCGGCCTCAGCCACAGGCCGCCCCCGCCTCCCCACCGCGGGAAGCACGGAGCCGGGCCCCGGGGCCGAGCGAAGCCTTGGGACCGCGCCGCGTCGCGCAGCCCCTGAGCCATTTGATACCTGGCTGCGCGCGGCCACCTGTCCTCCGCCCACGGGGCACCACCCAGCCCCACGCGGGGCGCCTTCTCCAGCCGCCGCCCCGGCCCCGCGCGACCACTCCGGCGAACCCCACCCTCCGATCCCTGGCGGCAAAACAGTTGGGCTCCGTGGGCGGCTGGCTCGGCGCCCCCCCCCCGGGCCCGGCGCGCCCCCTCCCCAGCCCCCCGGGGCCCCGCTCCCCGCACCTTCTCGCTAGAGGAGGACGCCCCTCTCCTCCAGGGCCGAGAGAGGGGGGCTCCTAGGATTTGGGGGCGGCTGCCACGAGCGCCCAGGGATGCGTGGTGCTCCGGGCGGCCGCGGCAGGAATTAGGGGACATGCTCGTTAATTGGTTCCACTATCAGCCGCCGTCTGCCTCCCGTGCGCACGGATCAGACCTTAATTGCTCTTTACATTTATCATGGAGAACTGCGAATCTCCAAACAAGCCCCCCCGCAGCGGCTTCGGCCGAGAAAGCGCCCCTCCTCTCTCCCTCCCTCCCGGGACCCAAGCCGCTCGTGGCGGCGGTCGTGCTTATTTAGACATCTTTATTTCTCTTGAGTTGGGTCTGGAAGGACCGCCTGGTTCCACCTGATGGAGCCACATCGCCTTGTTCGCAGAGACCCCGCCATGGGCGCTACGTTCCTTCCATGCGCGTTCGTGATTGCGGGCACCTTGTTGGGATTCAACGAAGTCTAGCCCAGACTGCTTCCCTTGCCGCCCACTTTGACCCATCTCCATTGCCCTCCAGCCCCTACCCGCAGCCCGACAGGAATAGCAATGTCTGGGCCCCGTATTTAGGGCCAGGTGGCATTCTGAATCAGGCTAATGGAGCTTCTCCAGGAAAGAAGGAACATTGGTGAACAGCAAGCTGCAGAGTGGGGAGTTCAAGGTCCCCCGGAGGAAAGAAAGCTTGCACTCTGCCTTGGACACATCAGGCCAACACTTAGCCTCCTGCTGGGCATTGGGGTCTTCCAAAATCCTCTTAGACTGCTTTAGGGCCAAGAAAGTCTCGCTTTCCCATGAAGGAAATGGCCACTTGAGAAGGAGTGCATGCAGAAGCATGTACACACACACACACACACACACACACACACACAAACTATTCATGTATATGTATATTTGTATATAGATTTCTATATGTGTTACATATTCATTCTAGGTAGGATGAACAGATGATTGATAGACAGACAGACAGACAGATAGATCTGACCCATACACAATTGGAAACATGATTGAGAGATGGGAGGAGAGATGTGGGAATCCTGTTGGGACTGGAAATCTGTGAGAACTCTACTTTACCATCTGTAGCCCATCTCTACTAAAAAAAAAAAAAAAAAAAAATCAGCTCTCTGGAGCTTTAAAGAGAGGGTAAGGACTTCAACTTCTTTGCCTTTTTCCTTCAAGGTTCATGTTTGTTAGGTTTTTACCCTCACCTCAAATCCCTAGCAGAAGGAAACATTTGTAAAGCTTTGCCTTCCTGGGGGCCTCCCAGGTTGTCACAAGAAGTGACTGCCAAGTCCCTGCTCCACCTGGCAGCATGAGTCCAAGAGACAGCTGGTAATTGAAAGGAAAGATCTAGCAGCTTTTGCTTTCAGTGTGATGGAGACATCTTTCCGTCACAGGACAATCTAGGGAGTGGATCCTGGGAACTGTCAGACCATAAGATTTCACCACCACCCCTAGCCAGGGTGAGTCTGCACTTGGGTGACACAGCTGTTTATCATCATCCAGGCATACCACCTGACATAGCCTGGTAGCACCCCTTATATGTCATTCTCCTACACATCAATCTACCTCGTGCTGGTTGATATCAAATCTGAAGGCGTGAACCACTTACAATCTGTGGAAGATGCTTCATGGAAATCGTGTCGTTCAACTCAGCCAACATCAACTTTCTTTTTCATAAAGAGGAGCAATAGAATTCTCATTCCTATTAGGGATACTGACAGCTTATGTGCATCTTAAAAATCATCCTAAATCTTCTTTTTAGCCTTAGAACATAACAGTATCCATTAGAAACTCTGAAGAAAAATAGGAGTCCTTAAAAATAGCGTAAATGACACTAAAACATATCAAAATACAAAGCTTAGCTAAACTACTTCCCAAAGGAAGATGCTCTTAGGGAAGAAACACAAAGACACAATGCCTCTGATCATAGAAAATATTTTTTAATTGAACTCCAGGAAGTGGAATTGTCTTGTGCTTTGTCTGTCCTTGGGGTGGGGGGACAAAAGGTGAGTAGCAGTGGTACTGGACTCTGTGTGGAAAATGAACTTGTGGGTGGGAATGGAAGGGAGCTAAGGGAGGGGTGACATCGTCCAAAATAAAAATGTACTCATTACTTGACTTGTGAAATGCTAACCCCTCGGCACATCACCTTTATAATTAATCAAGAAAAAGCATTAGAGCATTTTAAGCTTTTATCTGATTGTATCATATCTGTAATTAAGTGTATCCTATAGTAAATTGTTAGCTACTAGCTCTACCTGGGAAGTTTATTGTTATTTTTCCCCCTCTTGTATCCACTACCAAATGGTGGATCTTTTCACTGTATCCTATGAAAACCCAAGCAGAAACCTAGGATCTGAATGGCTAAAAATCTGTTGATTGTCTACAGTGACCCGTAGACCCACTCAATCATTAAGAATCAAATCAAGAAATAACTCCAGCAACGATAACTGTTATGCTTAATATTCTATCATTTCGATGGAGTGAGATCCTGACAGCTGGTGAATTGTACTGACTTTCCATTTAGAGCTCAGGGATAATGCTCAGTAATAGAGTCACAATTTGACTTGTGACCTGATACTTTATTGCTGTATGTGAATGCTTTGTTGAATGGAATGTGAATGCTTTGTTGTTTGGAAAGTGCTGTTTTTGTGGGTGTGTATGTATGTCTTTCAAATGTCATCTGTCCCAAGCCTAAGCTCATCAGGACATGGACTGATAGCCACAAAAGGACTGCACTGTTTCCCTCTGGGCTTGGGGAAACTGGGAGAGAGACAGGTAGCAGACATTACACAGGCACCATGCTCCTAGGTAGACTTTGTAAGGATCACTTTTATATGGGAAGGAATGATTTACTTCCTACATGTGGCTGCCTGTCTCCTGTACATCTGTGAGAGTCAGCAAGAATCAAAGGCAAGAGTTCAGTGTCCTTATTAGGAACATTCCATTGAGGACACATATATCATTTAAAACAAATCGTTGATCACTACAAATCTAGATCGAATTAGAACCTATGACCTTTTTGGGAAAGAACATGGCAGCCCATTAACTGGCTTCACTAGTTCCTTCAGTGCTAGGCTCTTTTATTTTTTAGATCTTTATCCTTTTAAAATTAGAACAGGGCTATGATGAGCCAATTTACTGCTGTTCTGTGTAATTTAGGTTATTCACTCTGAAACATAGAAGATGAGAGCACAGTTAACGCTGCCTATTTCCTCTTCAAAGGAAGGTCTCAATTCACAGTAGCCAATATGTTCATAGTTAGAGTGGACACAGAACACTGAGAAGTGTTCTGCCTCTATGAGAAAGCTGACCCATTCTCCAAAGTTTCTTCTTTGTTTTTTCTTTTTTTTTTTTTTGGGGGGGGGGGTTCTTTGTCGGTCATGGGGCTTGAACCCTGGGCTTGGGTGCTATCCCTCAGCTCTTCAGCTCAAGGTGAGTGCTGTACCGCTTGAGCCATAGCGCCACTTCCAGTTTTCTAATGGTTTATTGGAGATAAGAGTCTCACGGACTTTTCTGCCTGGGCTGGCTTTGAACTGTGATCCTTAGATCTCAGCCACCTGAGTAGCTAGGATTACAGGCATGAGCCACCGGCGCCCGGCCAAAGTTTCTTCTTTGACTGGTCATGGTTTTTGTAACACCTCTTTCCCACTCACTGAATGGGTAGGTAATAATCCCCTAGTTCAGGAAATAGTAAAGCCAAAATGTTACTCTGTTTGACAGTTTGGGGGCTTTGGCCCAAGTCTGGCCCTTGGAGTTGATTTGACATTTTCCATGTGATGCTCCCACCACAGGCCTGTAACACTCACTGATTAAAGATGTTTTTGGAATGATATTATGACTACATGATTTCATTCTCATTCAGAGCATTGCTTTAGAGTTTCAACAGCTGCTATTGGCTCTCCTTTGAAGCATGAGAGCATTCGGTTTTGCAGAGCCTCTGCTTTGTGCTCTCCATTGATGGGGTAAGTGCCAGTATTTCTGCAGACTTGCCAGGCAGGACTCTGTCAGTGTGAGATTTCACATCTTTGCTCCTATGACGCTCCTCCAGTAATGCAAGAAACCTAAAGAACCCCCTGTACCACTCCTACATGCTTCTCAAGAACCAC